GTGTGTATACAGGTATCAAAACATCACATGATATTCTGTAAATATATACAGTTTATGCCACTTAAAATTAAAATAAAACAACCATTTTTGTATAAATAAAAGAAAAGTAAACTTTCACTTGGGCCATGATGAAGTAATGGGGATTAGATTTATCTTCTCACAATGAATTACTATCAAACTCAACTAAACTGTAATCTTTTCAGCATTGAATGGCTTTCAGCTCAGGGACCAGAAACTTCATAGAGTGGAAGCCAATGAGGTGGGAGGCTAATTGGCCTTTCTTTCTGCCCTGGAGTACTGTGTGGATCCCAGTTTAAGAAGATGAAACCTATGGAGAAAAAATGATCCTGCTAAGCTTATGGGTTAGAGATTCTAGTTTAGGGTACCCCGAAGGCTGTAATGAAGGCATGAGGACCATAGAGGAGGGAGCCATATTGTCCTTTGATGACTAGTTTTAGGAGAGACTAAAGTCATTTTTGCTATAGTTAGAGGCCCATCCAGAGTCTAGAGAATGGGATCATAAGGCTCCCTCTTGCTAGGAGAAATGTTACTGGCGCATTGTAAGAAGATGCTGCAAGATGCAGGAATTTGTGGAAAACACAATTTTCCATAATATCAGTTATTACATTACATGGAATAGACTAAGCCTTGTGGCTTAGGTTGTGTTCATCAGAAAATTTTACATAAAAATCAATATGTTTAAACATTCTCTGTGTCTAGGACACTGATCTCAGTCTGAGAATTCTTCAAGTTCATTGAGAAAGCCCTAGAGTTAAAGAAGGAAAGGAACTTCTCTTCCATGGTGGAGGGTGCCCCTTGCAAGTGGCCAGGCCTTCAGTGAACACACAACATGTGAGAGAGGCCCTGGGATTCTGCCCACAATGGCAAAGGCTGGTCTTGCTTTCTTCCAATTCTAACAGCTACACAAGTCAGATTGGTATTACAAGAAGAAACCATGAGTCACTGCTGACCCCAGTCTCACCTGGGTTGGTGTTTCCTTATTTTATAATCATTTATTACTCTGGCCTTCATGTTTTTGTCATAAAGATGGCTTTACTTTGATCAAGAGGATCACAGTTTTCTTCTGTATATCTTTGCCTTTGGACATAAGTGTTAACTGCAAAGCAAAATTCTTTATTTGCATTAGGCTTGTGATTTATTCTCTTTAATCATGATACTTCACCTTAAATGACAGTTCTCCTTAATACTTATACTTAATTTTTAGTATGTTATATTTTCACATTCCAAGAGAAAATACTTGTGAAAAGGAAAAGTATCTGTATAACTGAGGTCACAATGGGACTTTTATTAATTCACACAATTTTCAATATAATTTAATTTGAGGTGGTATTCTACTGCAAAGAACAGAAAGTATAGGTGCCTTAGAGACCAGAAAGCAATTATGTTAATATTTAAATCATAGTATTATGATATATAATGAAGACAATTGCAGAGGACATACAGCTTGGATTTTATTTTGGAAAGTACTAGCTATGAGACTCTGGGCTGTTTATACCATCTGAGCCTATAATTCCTTACAGGCAATGGACTTGTATCAGACCAGATAATTCATAATGTCTGTATTTTATTTCTAAAGAATAAATACCTTGCCTTAACTATTTTAGTGATATAGTATGTCTACTTGAAGGTCAGTGACCAAAGTCTTTTTTAAAAAATATGCACATTTCTGTTTTCCACTTTCAAATAGACCCTTGGATATATATGATTTTCCATGAGTGCTCATAAAAGTATAATTTTTGTTTTAATTATTCTAATTATGAATAAAAACTATTATTAATGAAAGTATATAGAAAAGTACAACTTATATCAAATATAGCTTTTGTTCTAATTATTATTCAAATTTGATTCAGCTATAATTTAACAGGAATGAATGTATTAATATACAAAATGGTGTTTTATGGGTCAAATCTAACCTGATTCTTGCTTTTGTGAACATATCTTTTTTGGACACATTTGTATCATTTCTGCATTGTTTATGGCTACTTTTACACTTTGGTAGAGATGAACAGTTGAGACAAAAACAATAATATGACTAAGCTTAAAATATAGACTTTCCATCCCTGTACAGATAAAGATTGCTAGCTTCTGAAGTAGAACAAAGGAAATAAAACCAAAAAATGAAAGCCAAAGATCTTCAAAAATGTTTATCCTTAGTGTATTATCAGTTTTCCATACTGTAAGAAAATACCTGATACAAGACACACCAGCTAAAATAGGTTCATTTAGCTTTCAGTTCTGGAGGCTCAAGCTCCAAACTGCATAATGCTGGCTCAGTAAGCTTCTCTTGACCTCAAGATCTCTTGGTGGATAGCAATGATGGGAATGCATATGGGAATAAGAAGGTGAACCCAGACCAGAAAGCCATTTGGACCAGGCATGCTCTCTTAATAACAAGAGGTTATATAAAGAACTTCATTCCAAGAACACACTCCTAAGGCACTCAGGACTTCCCACTAGCCCCATTTCTTAAAATTCTTTGTGATTTAGATACAAGGTATTCCCAAAAAATTCATCTGTGAGACAATGCAAGGATTTTTAGAGATAAAATGATTAGATTACAAGATTTGTGATTTAATCTGTGGATTAATGCACTGTTATGGATGAACTGGGTGGCACCTGTAGGCAGATAGTGTAGGCTTGAAGAAATAAGTCACTGGGGGTGTGTCCTTGGTAAACAGAGCTCTTCATGTTTCCTGTTGTCATATTATGAGCTATTTTCCTCTTCCATGCCCTTCTGCCATGATATTCTGCCTCAACTTGGGTCCAGAGCAAGGGAGTCAGCTGACCATGGACTGAAATTCTGAAACCATGAACCAAAATCAACCTCTACTAAAAAGGTTCTTGTCTGATCTTTTGGTCATAGCAAAGAGAAAGCTAACCGAAACAACCTCCTAATAGTGTTACCTTGGGAACCGAGCCACCAATCACATAGTCCTTTGTGGGGCACAATTAAAAAACATCCAAACCAAAACATGGGTATGGAATGTTGAATCAAGGTACCAAGATTGACTCTCTGGTTGAATCTAGGTACCAAGAAGCTTCCTGAACTCTTAAACAATTTTTCAAAGAAAAAGTATTTAAATTTACAATAATTTTATTGTTAAAGTATATCTTAGTATGGCTTGGATAAGAAATCATGGGATCAAGATTTGTTTCTAAAGTAGTACTGTATGGTGACTTGTTAAAATTATCTAAGAATTTGTCTTTATCACATCATTTTTCTTATGAGTCTGCTAAATCATGTATTAGTCTCTCCTAACTAGAATAAATTATTGTAATTTTAATACCCACAATCATTCGATCACATTAATAAAAATAATCAAAACAAAACATTCTTTATACTGAGAATAGTAAAAATAGTACAGTTTAGCTGTACTTTGATCTTGAATGTCCTTAAGGGTTGCTGTGTTGGAGACTTACTTGCCAACCAGTGGGACTATAGGAAGGTGGTGAAACTTTTAACTAATGGTAGAAAGTTATGTCATTGGGAGCATTCTCCTGAAGGGCATTTTGTGATTTTGGTGCCTTCTGATCTCTGTATTGCCTTGTGGCCACTGTAAGGTGAGCAATCCCAACCATGATGTACCGCTTCTCCATAGGCCCAGAAGTGATGGGGTCAGCTGACCACAAACTGAAACCTCCAAGACTATGTGCCCAAATAAACTTTATCCCTTTGTAAGTAGATTATCTCCTTTTGTCAGTGATGGAAAGCTGACTAGAGAAAATTGGTACTGTCAGGTGTGATGTAATCCCAGTGGCTGTAATCCTAGTGGGTCTGGAGGCTGAGGCAGGAGGATCATGAGTTCAAAGCCAGCCTCAGCAATGGCGAGGCACTAAGCAAGTCAGTGAGACTCTGTCTCTAAATAAAATACAAAATAGGGCTGGGGATGTGGCTTAGTGGTCAAGTGCCCCTGAGTTCAATACCAAGAAGAAAGAAAGAAAGAAAGAAAGGAAGGAAGGAAGGAAGGAAGGAAGGAAGGAAGGAAGGAAGGAAGGAAGGAAGGAAGGAAGGGAAGGAAGGAAGGAAGGAAGGAAGGAAGGAAGAAAGAAAGAAAGAAAGAAAGAAAGAAAGAAAGAAAGAAAGAAAGAAAGAAAGAAAGAAAGAAAGAAAGAAAGCAACCTTGTACTGGAAATAGGGTCATTGCTATGACTTCACCTGAGACAATGTGGAAGAATATTTACAGTTGATTTGTTAGAAGAACTGGGAAAAAATTTAGAAAAGCAGACTAGAGAAAGCCTAGAATGCTGTAAGCAAAATTTAATGGATGATTCTGATGAGAACTCAGAAGACGAGAGTGCTAACAGGAACGCAGACAGTAAAAGTGATGCTCATGAGGTTTCAGATGGGAATGAGGACTCCTTTGGGAATTAGAGTAGTGGCTATTCTGGTTACACGTTGGCAAGAAAATTAAATGCATTGTGTCCTTTCCCAGACACCTTGTGAGAAGTCCAGATAATGATGATAGACTAGTTTATCTGGTGGAGGAAAGTTCAAAGCTGCACAGCATTTAAGCAACTGCCTTACTGACCATGTTTAGCTAAATTTACTGTGAGGATCAGAAACAGAGTAGAAAATCTTGGAAATCTTTCAATTCTGCCAGAAAGGGAATGAATTTAAAGGTGCTTCCAAGGACAATGCAGTTGCAAAAAAAGATTAGTGCCATTAAAAAGAAATTAGATACTTTGTACTCACATGATAGGACAAATGCCTTGAGGAGTTCTCTGGACTTAGCAAGACCCCATTCATCACAGGTTCAAAAGTGTAAATGTGTAAATTTATTTCAAAACCTTTCATTTGAAAAGAGATCCCTGAGTGACCCTGCTTGCACAGGGTCACCTAGGGAATTGTTTCCCAATTGTTGTTTCCCCATGTTCAGTCATCTTGACTCAGAGGCTGCTGCAGCCATGGCTTAAGAAGACCTTGGTACACTCACCTTGGTAGCAAACTTGGAATCATTCATGTGATGCTTGTTTTATAGGCATGAAGAGTGCAAGAATTATGAGTTGCAGGAGGCTTCTACCACAATTTCAAAGGAGAGCCTGGAAGTCCAAGTGGCATGTGGCAAGGTCACCATCCTTGCAAGTTCTCTAACAGATGAGTGTTTGCAGATGTGAGAGTGAAGCCAAAGCTGCAATTTGGATGGCTGCAGGGAAGAAAGTGCAGCAGTACAGAAAACCTGTTGAGGAAAAGGTAAAGCCCATGTGCAAAACCTCTCCCAGAGTATGGCCTGTAGGAGTCAATCAGTAAGGCCATAGAAGTGTACTGTCTAGTCCTTGGGAGCTCATATTCTGCTAGATTATGCCCCAGATGCCCATCATGGAGACAGGATCTGATTCTGATGAGTTTCAATCTTGTTTTGGTTCAGTCTTCCTTACCTTACTGTGTATTTGTTACTCCTTTCTATAATAGTAATATGAACTTTGTGCAATTGTATCTTGGAAATATACAACTTGATTTTTTTTCCAATGGCTGTATTTGCCTTCAGTTTGAGAGGGGACTTTGAACTCGGACTTTTGAATTATGCTGAGATGGTTAAGCTTTGGAGATGGACCAAATTCATTTAGTATTATGAGATGAACATGAACCTTTGAGGACCAAGGATGGAATGCTATGGTTTTGATAAAGGTCCCCTAAAGGTCCCCAACCTGTGGTGTTATTGGAAAGTAGTAGAGCTTCAAAGAGGTGAAGTTATATCACTGGGGACCTACCCTTAAAGGAAATGTTGGAACTCCAATCTCTTTCCTTTCTTCTTTGAGTCCTGACACCATGATATGAACTTCTTTCATCACATGCTTTTGTCATGATATACAGCCTTGTCACTATCCTAAGAGCAACAGGGACATCTGACCATGATAGAAACATCCAAAACTATGAGCAAAATTAGACTTTTCCTCTTTATAAATTGATTATCTCAGAGACTGGTAGTGTAGCTCAATCTTAGAATACTTGACTAAAATTTGTAAGTCCATGGATTTAATTCCCAGCCCTGCAAAGACAATACACAACAAAGGAAAACAACAAAAGAGATGACCAGAGATTAAATGAAAAATTCAGACTGCAAATTGCTATGTTATTGTAATACTGTTTCATAGTTTTACTTTTTATTTGAAAAATTATAATATCTTTCCTGAACTACCAAATTTTGTTGATAGTGGAGTGGTGAGACATAACTCTAAATGAGGGACTGAAAGATATAGAACACAAATCAGGATATAATTGCTACATGAAATCTCCACAAGCATATAAACTCACCCAAAATCTAAATAAAACACAGGAACTAAACATAGGAACTAAAATTACATGATTTTTTAATCTTCTGGAGACTCTCCTTCAAGGTTCTGTGAATACCCATTCATTTCCTTTTCCAAATGCACTCAGCCCTTATCACCATGACTATGTGATTGACAGGTGGTAGTTCCTGCAGGGAAGGACAATGTGGGCAGTGATGATGAATTGACTTATAGTTCATGCAGAAGTTGAATAACCTTATGCACCTCATTAGAAGTTTGAATAAACACAAGTTTTAGTTTATTCTGACAACTCAGCAAGAAACCACATCAGCAAGAATGAAATGGGCCTCTAGGTATGGGGGCATGACAGTAATAGGAAGGTAGTTTTCTTCCTTACACGATAAATATATTTTCTAGATGTTTTTAATACTTAAAAACTACTCCTGAGGAGAACATAATCTGCAACTCTAAATCATTGGCACATAACCTGAAGATTAGAGAATAAAAGGAATTTTAAGTATGTATCAAAGTTTATTGTTAGTTTTATGATAGACTAAATGAAATATAAAAAAGCAACTCTATAGCTGCAGAAAACATAAATGGGTAAATCTGACCTAAACACCATAGCACAGGGCCAAGTGGGTGAAGTAGATCATTCTGACCATCCTAAGTGCTCCATGGGCTTTAAATATTTTATACCTTCCCTATTTGTTAATGTTCCTGGTCAAACTAGGATATAAATTGGAATTCAGCATGCTGGCTGCAGCTATAGCTCAGGAAATCTAGCATGTATTTAATAGACAAGGGATAAAACAAGCTAGTTTTTAAACTTGGTTCTCAGTCACCTATTTTTAAACATAATATTTTTTAAACCTTTATGCCTTCATTATTTTGTTGCAAATTAATCCCATCATCATTATATAAATTCAAACACGACAGAATGTAAACTATATAAAGTACAAAGTGCAAGACCTCTTTGCTTAACCACTCTTTTCTCTTGCCCAGAAAATCAATTAACAATTGGTTATGTGGCATTACAGGTTCTTTATATACATATTTTGCTTTCACAAAATTAGCATTCATTATAACATGAGATTTCCATAATGAGCTTTTGGTCAAACAGTCACTGTCTAAGAATATTTTGGTCTATAAGGATGGATTTCTACAATAATTCCTGAACCTTCCATCTTGTGCAATAACTTCTGAGAGTGATTAAAGTAGAAAATAAATTATATTATTTAAGTAGTATATAATACCTTGAATGAAAAAGAGACTAAAAAGATGCCAAGACTATAAAGATACAAAATGAATACAATAAACATTGACATGGTTTATTGTCATGAGCCGTCCATGGGCTGTGTGTGCATTATGTTGCACATAGTGTTGCACACTAATGGAGGGATAAATCTGGCATTGGGAACCTCCTATGGTACCCCCACAGAGATTGAACACCTGATACAAGTGAACTTACCCTTCAACCTCTGCCAGAAATCCCACACAGCACCTGAGACAGGAAGATGTGACCTGCCAAGATGTCAATCAACCTGCTGACTGCAAGACACCATAAAGCAAGACTTTGCCCTTAAAATTTATCCCTGCCTTTAATGTTCCCCAATATAAATAAAGCAAGCACAGGCTCCATTTTTCCAGAGTATAGAAGCTTGATCTGTATGATAGGTTTGCCCATCCTGCCCCTACTTATGAAAATATTTTCTGTGTCTTGTGATTATTTCACCATTCTATTTTTCTTACCTTTTATTTTGTAGCTAACCCATTCCACCAAGCAGAACTCCACTCCCACTGCCTGCACCAGACATGGGTGGGAATTTATCTTTGCCAGTTTAAGCATTATATATATGTATGTATACATACATAATGTTTATATGTAATATGTATATATGTATACATATATAATTCTATTTTTTAATTACGTGTTCTTTTATGTGTAAATATATATGTACAACTAAGTGTGTGTATATGAGCATATGCCTAAACAAACCTATGTTTATGTGTAAATATGCAACTAAATGTGTGTATATATATATATATACTTTTATTGTATATTTATGTATTCATATTCAATACATAGAGGAGAGAGTTTGGCAGATGCCTGTAAACTTGACCATACCCTTACTGTTTGACTCAGAAAGACCATTCAAGTCAAATAAAAACTCTAGTTCACATCAAAACATGTATGCAAATGTTTGTGTCAGCTTTATTCATTCTAATTGCCAAAAACTGGAAATAGCACAAATGTCCTTTAGCTAGGGAAGATATATTCACAATGTAATACATTCACTAATAGAAAGAAACACACTACTGACAAACCCATCATCAGGGTGATTTCAAATGTATCATGTTCTGTGAAAGAAGCCATACTTACAGAGCTACATTGTTTGGTCCCACTTACATGATGTCTTGGAAAACAAATTATATGAATCATAAACAGATTAAGGTTGGGGATAGATTTGACTCTACCTTCTTAATTTAAAATGGAAAATTTCTGCCAGGTTAGATATATACATAAAGCAATTCTATTATAAATTTTGCTTTGGATATTGATAGTTTTCACTTAAATGTTTATAGAGTTTTCTATATTAGTCCTCAAAATCTATCTTTTTTTCGGATTTTATTTTGAATTAATTTTTGACATATATCCAAATTTCAGAATACTACAGAAAGTCCGTGTATATACTTCATTCAGTTTCTTCTAGTGCTATTTATTTGAAACACTATGATCCAATTGCAGTGTAGAATTTAACATTGATATAAAACCATAAAGTACATAAATTATTCAAATTTAATCAAATTTAACCCATTTACTTCTTTTGTTCTTTCTGGATCTAACACAGGACCCCAGAGTACATTAAATATTGTGTTTCTAGTCTCCTCCAATTTGTTATAGGTCCTCATTCTTGGCCTGTCTTTTAAGACATTGACACTTTTTATGAGCACTAAACACTTATTTTATCCACTGTCCTTCAATTTAAATTTCTCTGATGTTTTCTCCTAATTGGACTGAGGATAAACCATAAAATTGATGTTTGGAGCATCTGTTACTATTTGTGTTCTATTTTGGTTTTCCCCACATCCTATTTTAATGGATTGATTGATTGGTTGTTTGATGTTTAGAATTACTACACCACAGAGCTAAAAAAGGTGAATGAGAAATTCCCAAGGATGAACCACAACAGATTTCTATTCTTCCCCATACCTTTGGTAAGTTTCCATAGTCCTAAAATAGTGTGTATTGAATTTTTTCATTTTATTTTATAATTGCTTGTTTGGTAGGGTTTCTTTTTTTTAAAGCTCCTCTTTATGACACTCCAAAAGTCGAGTTTCTGTGAGTGCCTTAAAATATTCTTACTAGATTCAGTTTTTAACAGTCTGATTTGATTTATCTAGGTGTGATTTTCTTTCTATTTCTTCTACTTGAATTTTGTTGAGCTTTTGGGATATGCATGTCAACGTCCTTTGACAATTTCGGAACATTTTTGGCCATTACATTTTAATACAATTTTCTCTTCCATCTTTTCTTGATCTCTTTCCTTCAGAACTTAAATTATAAGCATGGTCAACCACATGATGTTGTAACACATATGTAACCCTTACCTAACATATATAACATATAAAACCCTAATCCTAATCCCTGGTTTATCAGCATACCAATAGGGCTCCAGTATAATAACAATGGATTACTGCAGATAGAACTTCTCTAAATTCTGATAAATTCTATCAAAGAAGAATTTTGTAGAAAGGCCTAAAGGCAGCAAGACTCCAGCTGAAATGAATCTTCTGACATTGAAAACTGCATTAAAAGGTGAACAAACACTTGACTCCAGCTAAATTAACATGAAACCTCACACTAAATGCTGATAGTCTTTGGTGAATAAAAAAGAAGTCGATAAATAAATTTGTAGCAAATTTTTCATCAGAAGCCATATGAGTAAATAAGAGAGTAAAATATTTTAAATGTTGAAGGAGGAAATCATCAGGTAGAATTCTACATCTAGTGAAATTATCCCATGACATTAGGGAGAAACAGATAAAAACAGAGAAAACGTCTTACAATAGTGCTATTCTGCAAGATGTGGTTAGAAGGAGTCCTTTAAGAAGAAGGAAAATCACATAGGTCAGACCATCAGATAACTATAGGAAAAGGGAAGAGTTTCAAAGAAAGAATAAATGAAGATAAAATCTTTCATTTCTCTAATTCTCTATTCACCTAAAAGATATTAATTTAAAATAAAAAAGAATAAAAGAATATTAGATTATTATAGTAATTATAATTATAGAAATAAGTGGCAATAATGTAATAAGGGTAAGGTAGAGGAACCAGAAATATTGTTATAGGTGAGCTGTATTAGATGTGAAGTTGCCTAGTATTAAATATGGTGGATTTGGATTAATATATATTGCAAATTCTATGGAAACCACTAAAAATTTAACAAAAAAATTAAAACTGATTACAAAGAAAAGATAAATATCCATCATATGTACTTCTCCATTGAAATTAGATAGAAAGGTAATGGGACTAAACTATGGAACCAACCTAAATACCATTCAATAGATGAATGGATAAAAAAACTGAGGCATAGATACACAATGGAATATTACTCAGCAACAAATGAGAATAAAATCATGGCATTTGCAAGTAAATGGATGGAGTTAGAGAAGATAATGCTAAGTGAAGTTAGCCTATACCAAATAACCAAATGCTGAATGTTTTCTTTGATATAAGGAAGCTGATTCATAGTGGGATAGGGAATGGGCGCATAGGAGGAATAGATGAACTCCAGATGGGCAGAGTGGTCGGGAGGGGAAGGGAGGGAGCATGGGGTTAGAAATTATGATGGAATATGATGATCATTATTATAAAAAAAATGAAAGTGGGATGAATTACAGGAGAATTAATTAAAGAGGACTTTCTAGAAGAGATGAGCTATATTAGTCTAAAAGTAGGGATTTGAGCTAATGGAGTGCATCAAATGGGGCACATTAGGTGCAGGAATGGCTTTAGTGGGGGTGGGTTGCTTAAAAATAGGTTGGTTTGTATTAATTAGTATCCAAGGCTAGGTCAGACAACGGACAATAAGATTCTTAAGTTGCTCTGGGTATGTGATTCTAATTGTGTAAACCTGTCTTTTGTGGCAAGCATCAAAACACCTGATTTTTATGGTTGTACATGATGTGGAGTTTCATTGGCCATATTCATATATGAATAAACAAATAAAAATCAATTTTTAAAATTCTGCTAATTAAAAAAAACAGACCTGAAAAAAAGAAAGGTAATGGGAAAATATCAAAGAATAAGCGCAACAAATGAAGGTTATAAATGTGACATATATTAAACCAACTATTTAAAAGTGCTTTAATGTTAATGGTCATAATATAGCAGCTTAAGGAGCGTTTGTTGAAATATACATAGGATCCAACTGGAAATATAGACTCAGGGAACTTCAAGGTACAGGAATAGAGAAAGATATACTGTGAAAACATTAAAGAAATTTGAGTAACTTTATTAATTTAGGCAAATAAGACTTCAAAACAAGAAAATTTCCAGAGAAAAAACAGCAGTGCACAACCATAAATGAGTCAATTCTCCAATAAGGGCTAAGTCAATATGTACCAGACATCAAGTTGTCAAAATGTGTGAGGCAAAAAACACAAAATATAAAGAAAAATAGATGATCACACTATCCAATGTGAAGATTTCAATACTTAGGTTTCAGTTTCGATAGATAAAGCAGACAAACAACATTTAAGTATATAAATGAGCTGTAAAACACTCTTACCCAACCAGATCTTATTGACATTTATATATTATTGCCTCGGAACACTAACAAAAGAAACATTTTTCTCCATCTTGCATAGAACATTCACTCAAGACAGACATAATTCTGAACCACAAAATAAACATGACACATTTAAAAAATAGAAATTGTCCAAAATATGTTTTCAGACCAATGGAATCTAGAAACAGTTTGCAACAGGTCCAAACACTTGGAGAATTTGCAACATACCTAAATAAGTCAAAAAATTCTCAAGAGAAATTTAAAAATACGTTGAGGAAAATTAAAAAAAAAAAAAGAAAATACAATTTGTCAAAATTCATTTGACACTGTGCAAACAGTGTTTTGAGGGAAATTTATAGCATTAAATGCATATGGCAGAAAAGATGAAAGATCTAAAGCCAATAATTTTTATTTGCATACTAGAAAACTAGAAAAGAAGAGCAATTTCTATTTAGAGCAAGCAGAAGAAAATAAATGATAACAATTAAAGCAGAGATCAATAAAAATGAAAAGAGGACAACAATAGAGAAAAATCGATAAACCCAAAAACTATTTGTTTAAAAAAAGATCAAGAAAGAAGTTGTTTAGTTTCTAGCTAGGTTAACCAAAAGGAAAAGAGAAAAGACACAAGCAAAAAAATAGCAAAATGTGAGAGATTTTATCAATACTAATCCTATAAAAGTTAAAATGTTGATAAAGGTCTACTATAAACAAATCTATCAAACCACAATTTGATAACTTAGATTCTATTGACCAATTGTTTGAAAAACACAAATTATCAAAATTTACTTGAGGAGGAATGAATCTTCTGAATATTCTTAGTAAAATACATTGAATCAATAACTT